GGACGGTGGACACTGAACAACTCAGGAATCCCGACAGCACTAGCTCCGTACACCGCAGCCAAACAATCTACATTCCTCAGCCCACCACCTCCGTCTCTGCAGTACCTACATTCTACAGTAACTCTCGCGACACCAGGCCAGGGCGGTCGCCTCGTGGATTAGTATCCATGCGCGCCATATTCACCAGTTCGACTGCCTCCACTGCTACCAGCCAGCTCCCAGATCCCGGGCCCAACACCGATAGCAATAACGGCAACCACCCTTCCACGTCGCAGGTATCCTCGCCGCCGCCGCCGCCTCCTCCTCGTCCTGCCGTATCGGTCTCCTCGCCAGAGGACGAACCCTTACCGCGTCGGATCAAGTCCAAATCCTCCTTGCGAAGTATTCGGAGCCTCGGCAGTAGTCACCAGGAAGACGAAGGCTACGACAGCCAGGACCAAAGCGGTCTCGATAAAAGTCTTGTCCGGCCCTCGATCCTACGTCGTTTGTCTCCTGGGCTGGCAGCGCGGGTGAAACTATTGGATGGTAGTAGCAGGGTCTCGACACCATCTCGCAGCCCGGGCAACGTCGGTCGGATTCCTGAGGAACATATCAAGGAGCTTGACAATCTTCATCAGAATTTGTCCATCAAGGTTGAAAAGAAGGGCCGGTCTTGGAATGCTCTGCAGCTAGCTGGCAAGAAACAAGACACCCGGCAGACTCCTTCCGAACCGTCGGAGGTCCTGCAACACCGTTCGACCGGACGGTCGGCAACACCACCAGATACCGAGCCAGCGGCACCAGTCATCGAGAACCCTGGATCGCCTACATCCGTACCTTTTGAGCATATTGAGGCTGAACATTTGCCCGCTGCGGCGGTAGCTTCCCCGCAGGAAGACTCGCAGTACGAAGAAGTAGTGGAACAGACACCAGCCATGTCTGCTGTGGAGCAGTCTCAGATGCCGCTGGCGGTTGGGTCCGCGACAACATCTGAGGTTCCCGATCAGACTGACTTTGAGAAATACATCCAGAGTACCAGCGACAACGAAGCGCAATCGCCTGGCCCATCCCCGCCCCCGAAAGATTCTCCTCCATTGTCCAGTTCCTCATCGAATGTGCAGTCATACTTCAACCCGAAGGGCTTGCAGCGCACTGAATCAATCTATTCCTTTTCGAGAGCCTCCTTCAGTAATCAACTCTCACAGCTCACCTCGATCACTCTTCCACAACCCTCGTCGCTGGCAGCTAGTATAGCTGGGATATCGAATGCGCCCTCAGCTGTCAGGGCATTGACAGGGGCTGCAGAACAGATTCAGATATGGATCAGGAAGGCTTCTGATGTGTTGAGTGGCCTGGATGCGGAGGATGATGTGGAGTGGGCCGCGGCTGGCGGACGAGAAGGATTGGATGGAGTGGACAAAGCCATCACGCGGTTCGAAAGCTTGGTTCACGTTTATGTCAATGCTATTGAACAGGTTCAACTGCGGCAAGATATAGGCGACGTCAGTCCGGACAGTCTGAAGACGATCGTCGTTCAAATGGACTCTATCATACAGAGTTGGGCGCAGATTAAAGCGCGACTGAAGGGTGTCAAGGAGCAGGTAGAATTAGCCATGGAGTGGGAAGAGCTATGGGCTAATGTACTAGGCGATGTCGGTATGGAAGTTGAGAATCTCAGCCGATTGATCTTCGAGATGGAGGAGAAGCGACACTTCACCATGGCGTGTGAGCAGGAAGGGACCAGCAACGGGCTTGATATCAATGAGCTTGAGACAATCGTTGAGGAGACGCCATCGAATGGCGACATGGCAAGCAAACGCTTCAGCATGGGCCCCATCTTCTCTGCGGCACCGCCCTTGGGTATGCCGATTATCCAGACACCTCAGGATGATTCCAATCACTCCAGCCTCATGGCTTTGTTTGCTCGCATGCAGCCATTGCGGGCCTCTCTGGATTTCCTGCCCATGAGATTGTCCATGTTCCAATCACGGGCAGAGCGCATCTTCCCCAGTGCCTGCGAAGAGCTGGAAGATCGGCGGAACCAGCTGGAGAAGAGCTACAAAGTGTTGGAGGCCGATGCGGAGGCTCTGCGAAAAGAGCTTGGCGAAGACCGCTGGATTCTGGTCTTCCGCAACGCTGGAGCACAAGCACACAAGATGTTCGAGTCGGTCGAGAGAAGCATCGCCAAGCTCCAGGAAGCGCTCGAAACGGGTGCGCATCTGCACAATCCTGCTGGGCTAACGAAACGGATCGAGAGCTACGAGGCCAAGAAGGTCCATTATGTTCCTGCTATTGAGCGGGTGATCTCCATCATCGAAAAGGGTGTCAAGGATCGACTCACGGTGAATGGAGAGATCATGAGGCTTTCGTCAGATATGGCCTCAAGGATCGACGCTCTCAAAGCAAGTATCAAGGTGATGGACTCGTCGTTGGACGATCTCAATCTCGCCAAGTCTCAGCACTTGCGGGACTCGATATCCAGCATCATCACAATGGACAGCCCCCTTGCGAGCAGTGTTGTCGACACCCCCGGCAGCTCCCCTGCTTCGTCGGTAATCATGACGCCCGGGAATGGCCTCAAGGGCTCAACTACGCCACTGAACCCCTCGAGCAGGCGTGGTAGCTCCGTTGGTAGTTCTGCCGCGCGAACCACTATGTCCAAGGTTCGACGATACTCCGGACTCCCACAGGCGGCCTCGGCTCTGAAATCAGCGATCCCCAAGCCTACGTTCTCGGCTACGTCCCCTAGCAAGAAGGACACGGCCATCACTCCGACGCCGACGACGCGGAAGGTTGCGCGCCTGCCACCACCGCCTTCACCGCTGAACAACCGTCCACGGTGGAACGCCAGCACCAACACCAACGATCTGGAAATTGGTCACACCTACAAGTCTAGCACGCCGTTCCGCAAATCCTCTGCTCCGGCTCGCACGTCGCGACCCTCGTCCACTCTCCCGATGCCGGGCCCGTACCGGCGAGACCAGTCTGCGTCTCCTGCTCCTTCGACAGCCCGATCAGTCAGTCGTGTCTCTAGCAGACTCGCCTCTCGCAGCCCGGCGCGGGTGGCATCTCCATCCCCTCACCGTTCCATTCTCGATCCTCCTCCATACAGCAAGCTTCAGAAGTCGGGCTCAGCTGGCCTGGCCAATACCCCTCGCAACCGGCAGAGCTACGCCGGAATGTCGTTCAGCCGCAGTGTCTCACAGACCAATGATTCAGGCATGCCGAGTCCGACAAAGACGACTCGCCCCGGGACCTCGCTTGGCCACTCGGGGACAGGGAACCGACGCATCAGTCTGCTTCCTCTTCCCAAGCCCCGGTCTGGCAGAGATAGTGCTGCGGGTTCGCGTAGCAAGCTCAGTGAGCGACCGCCCTGGCGGTGATTTTGTCTTCTCGCTTTGACATATTCAACCTCTCCTCTTCTGTGTTTCATTTTAGGGTCACATACATTTACGGCTCGCTGGTTCCTTGCGTTGTCATATACCAGATTGTTTGAGGGACAGACTGGGTTTGCTTGATTCCCCCATTCGCATTGTTTTAGCGCCGGATTGTACTATTTGTGCTTAGGGAGTGACAAATCATTTCTTCGGTGTATGGTTTACTTAATCAATGCATTGTGTGATACCTTGTGGTTAGATTTGTGTCTATTTACTTCATTCTATACTCTGCAAGTGCATCTATTCTATTCCCCCAGCTTCCTTCCAAAGATCAATGCATCCACCAAGTCCTCGCTATTTGCTAACCGTGCGGCCCCGGGCACTCGCCCGATGACTTCAAACCCAAGTTTCTTCCAGATCTTGACGGAGGCGACGTTATTCTCGAATACCAGGTTGAAGACGGAATATTTGTACCCCTGTGGATGCCCAGTTGGTCTAACGCAATATACACCAGCAAGCACAGGGAACCTACCAGCTTGGGAGCATACTCCAGATACGTCTCTCCCATAACTATCCCCACGCCACGACCCCTCGCCGCAGTCGTAGTCAGGAAACCCGCATTGCAAACGTGCGAGCACCGGCCTGCTCCGTCAGCACTGCACTCTTCCCAACAACTCTATTAATCAAGCTATATGCACGGAGTGAATTACCAGGATAATTCGGCTTAATATAAAACGTCCCCAAACACTCCCTCTTCCAATCTCTCCCTTGCCTAATCTCCTCCTCGTTTCCCGTCAGCGCCACAACCGCAAACGTCCCAAACCAGTACTCGGCGAACTTGTCCGCGCTCATTGCCTCCTCCATGGGATACGTGCAACCGCCCTCGATCTCCACGCGGAATTCCTCGGCGAGCAGCGCCACCAGGTCCGACGGGATGCTCGATGCGCCGCCTGCAATGGGGTAGAGTGTGACAGGTGTGCCGTCTTTCAGGGTTGCGTGGCGGGGTTTCAGGGAGGGGGCATTGTGGAGGGCTGATGGAGGAGGTGAGATTTTGGAGGGGTTCTCCATGATGCTTGTGCCGGCTGGCATTTTGTCTGTTTAGTTACGGATATGATGTTTATTCTGTACAAGATGGCGGTATATATAGGTTGCTGTTTATCTGTCGCAGCCGGAGTATAACTATTTTTTTTGGTCAACGTGATTAGTCATTGCTTGTAGATGGCAGGGCGTGAGTTTCCACAAGTTGGTAATTGATATACAGACACTTGATACGTAGATCACCGAGGGAATTATTGCTGGATGTTGTAGACCGGTAAGCTAATTGAAGGGTCAATGGCATATTGATGCCAGTGCTTGTGAAATCCCAGAGGGCCATGCATATGAACCTCGTACCGCTGAACCAATGAAAGCTGAATATATACATCAACGCTGTGAACAATGAGAGAAATGCCACCCCCCCCATAGCAAAACCATTCTGTGCCAATGCATGATAATATACACTGAGGAATTATCAGATCCTCGTAGGTCGTTACGGGATCGCCCTCCCAATTCGACCGTATGCCGCTAGACCAAACGTCCAACTCTATCCTGCATACTCTAGACGATGATATGAGCCGATCCAACCATGAGATGAAAAGGGCATCATCACTCCTTCCCCTCCCCATCCGTATTCTTGATCGCCTGCATGAGCTCATACAGCTGTCCGATCTGCTGATCTACAACCACAAACCAGACAGATCAGCATACCCCCGGACCCGAAAACACAGGCGAACCGCAGGACCTACCACTCATCTTATCCAGCTTCGACTTATCCAACTTCTCTCCGACCCATGCATCGCCCTCCAGCTTCTGCGCGTACAGCTGCCACTCCGTCAAGAAGCCGATCTGCCCCGCCTTAGCACCTTCTTCACTTGACCGGACGGGGAGTGGGGGGAAGCGTACGATATGTAGCGGGTTCTCCACATCCCTGTGTGCGCGGAACTCGCTCTTCACGTAGGAGTCGCCCAGGATGCGCATCTCAGGATCTAGCTTCCGCCGGTGGACGCGGAGGATGCGGCGGTAGAGGTGGAGTGGGGGGAGGAGGGCGAGGGCTTCGCTGAGGCTGGATTTGGAGCCCATTGTTGAGGGCGTGGCCATGAGTAATCTGTGGAAGAGACGCATTTTGTTTAACTGGTTTTGAGGGGGGTGATTGAGCTGCAAAAGGGAAATGTAGAGTGCGGAACAATATGATTGAGGATAGTATGATGCATGATGATGATACTGCCGCGGTTAACGATGCATCCCGGAAGGCGGCGAGGAGATGGCGAATCATAGTGTCGGCATTCCGCATCGGTTGAACCTCGTTTCCATTGTGCAGGTAAGGTTCTGCTTGGGATGAAGGACGGGCTTGGAATTGACAAATGCTGACTGTGATCAGGTCGCTAATTGGGTCTGGGACTAGATTGAAGAGCACTGTAACCTGCGCCACGCCATCAATTGACAATTCCAAGGGAAGGGAAAGCTTCTCGGGCCGATAGCTTTCGGATCTCCAAACACCAACGCTTTTGCAAACTATATCGATACTGATCCTGCAAGTACAATGCTCCCCACCCCATCCACAGACCACGTCTCCTTCGACACCATCTACGAACCCTCCGAAGACTCCTACCTCTTCCTCGACACCCTCTCCTCCCCCTCCGAATCAGAATGGCTCTCCGAGCGCTTCAATGGCACCAGCATCCCCCTAGTCGTCGAGGTCGGCACAGGCTCCGGCGTCGTCCTCGCCTTCGTCGCCGGCAACTCCCACGAGATCTTCGGCCGACGCGACATCCTCACCCTCGGCACCGACGTGAACCGCAACGCCTGCCTAGCCACCCGCGCAACAGTCCTAACAGCAATCCAAGAGCGGCAAGCAGCCGCAGCCCCGAAATCCGCACACATCTCCTCGGTGCTGGGTGATCTATGCAGCCCCCTGCGCCCGGGCTCCGTCGACGTCCTGCTTTTCAACCCGCCGTACGTCCCGACGGAGGAATTGCCGCGTCTGCCGTCTGTGACGGAGCACGAGACCGCCGCGGAGGCGCTCTCGAGGGCTGCCAAGTTCGAGCGGGACTCGTATTACCTGTCGTTGACGTATGCGGGGGGCATGGATGGGATGGAGACGACGAATCGGTTGCTGGAGGCGATTCCGGGCGTGTTGCATCCCGAGCGTGGGGTAGCGTATGTGCTGCTCTGTGCGCAGAACCGGCCGGAGGAAGTCAAGGAGAGGATACGGGGGTGGGGAGGTGGGTGGAAGGCCGAGTCGGTTGGGAATAGTGGGACGCAGGCTGGGTGGGAGAAGTTGGTGATTGTGAGGATATGGAGGGATGCTTCTTAATAGCGGGTTATACATCCAATTACGACATGAAATACTGGGCCGAGCGCCCATCCAGGGGTTTGATTCGATGTCGATTGAATTGATGTAGGTACAGGTAGCGAGGCACTGCCGCACCTTCGGATGACATGCTGGAATTATCTGGCACCGCGATCTTATTCGTCTGAACTGTGTCCATTCGCTTCCTCGACCAGATCGGCCCGTTGATGTCAATTCGCCCCGGATGAGGACTGTTGCTGGTCTTCACGGACATCTTTGTGACACTGCTCACAAGAGCATTTTTGCAGGAAGTCACCCGAGCTCATTTCCAAGTGTATCTGCCTCTTGGATCCGTGGTCACGACTCTGCTTCCCAGGACATTTCCCTTCAAATCGAGAAGATCAACAGCGAGGTCGTAGATTATTGCTTTTCTTCGCCCATCATCACACAAGAGCAGAAAGAAGAAAAAACATATCACAGATATCACCCAAACATATCACAGACAAAAAAGAAAGCAAGTAAAACTCCCGAAGCTATAGATGGAAAAGAACCTATCCATTGTCCCCGCCTAGAAACCGCGACCACGTCCCCGGCCCCGTCCCCGGCCTCTACCACCGCGTCCACCACCACCACCGCGGCCGCGGCCCCGATCCGTCTCCTTGCGCGCCTTGTTCTTCGGTTTCGGCTGGTCGTCCACGAGCAGGGTATCCAGAGGCAAGCTGTCGGGGAGGATGTAGTACCGGATCGTGGAGCCGCGGATGTTGATCGTGTCTAGGGAGATGGGCTCGCGGCCCTTGGGTGTCATCTTGACCGTGCGAAGAGCGGTGTTCATCTGAGGAGAGACGGAGGTGATGGTGCCATGGAGGATTGTACCTTTTTAAATGCAGAGTGATGCGTCAGTCGCGACAAAGTCAAGCCACGGAGTATCCGAATGTAGGCCGGGTGTGGGAGTGAACACTGGCAACGCAATCGCCAGGTCACAAGGAGGACCAACCATTCTTCAGTTCAATCGTCACCGTTTCATTGGCGCACTTCATCAGAAACCTACAGACAAGCCAAATGTCAGTTTCGTCTCCCGGTAGCCAGTGCCGTAGTGCGAGACTCCGATTCGACTGCAATGTACTCACCGAACGAGCTTCATGTTGACCGATATTAATGTGCGAACACACAAAGTCCTTCTGGCCAAAAGCTGTGAAAAAGAAACGTAGCTGAATTAGGCCTGCTAAAAATGAAGTTGATCAGGAGAGTGGCAGGTGTTTCCGCCAAGTCTTGCGAATTGATGTTTCCAAAAGTGATTGCGGCTCAAAGATGATCCTGCGAGAAACGGCGAAGCTCCAGAGCACGTGACCGTGATATCCTCAATCCCACTTCTTGACCATCATCCTACACAAGGTTTACAATGGATGCATTTTCAATTGTATTGATCTCGACTCGTCGCTAAATGGTATCTCGTACAAGAAAAAAAAAAAGAAAAGAGAAAAGACCAACCAGCCCCAGCGCCAAACCTCAACATTTCTCCGAAACAGCACTACAGAACACCATGTCGCGCTTTAAATATGGCTATTTTATCATCATAAAACAAGATCTCTCTGAGCCTGAACGACGTCCGGGATCGAGTACAGTCAGAGCTGAATTCGTCATCAGATGAAGTCCCGTAGTCGGACGGCTCGGAGCTCGACTCCATGACGCTGTTCCATCCCATCTTCGTCCTGGCTCTCATTCATCGGGTATGAGGTCTCCTTCATCTGACGGTGATCCTATATCCTTATCCATTCGTATTTAGTGAGAACTGCCCCAGTCTCGTGGCAGTAATCCGCAACCGTTCGCTTGGACTGATGAGTAGATGGAGCATCCACCGGGCAGAGACAAGAAGTCGGGTGTGGCCGTTGCAGGAGTAGCAAACAAGGCTTTGGCGGGAACACGCAGGGCAGAGGACCGTAGGACAAGGGAGTAATAGCCCCTAATGGACACATACTAATGACAGAAGGCTCTGGAGATCCATACTGCCATCCAATGTCAGGCAGCGAATTTCATCCCACTCACGCAGAAGTTCATCAATCTGCTCACCCTGCCCAGAGGCATGGAGAATCTCTGCAATCACCGCATGTGTCGCAAGGAGGACCCGACTTGGTAGCTCATAGTCGGCGTGCTTCTTGAAGGTGATGAGTTGCTCACCATCCTGATTGCGGGAAGGCAATTCTTCGAGCAAGAGTTTCTGAAACCTTAGGTACGTCTTGGTCTTATAGGTGTTCTCTGTGTCCTGGTCAAGTAAGCATAAAATAATTCTATGATTTAGCGAAACACATACAGTTGGTATGAGTGCAAACTTTAGACTGCCAAAATCTTCATGGAGATGGACTATGACAACGAAGAGAACGTCGTAGTGGAGGTCAGAGAAGTATGAAGAGAGAAGAGCGGTAGTGAGAAGTAGGTATTATTATTAGGTGGTTTGGTATTATGTCTTACAGAACCAGCCATGGAAGGTCGGAAAGCAGAAACAGGAATAGAACACAGTACTCCGTACCGGTAGATAGCCATCTCCACTTGCATCGCCAGCTCTAGACCAGAAGTGGTGAATAGTAGTAGGATGCATGATTTCTAGTTAACTCTATCTACTCCATAGAGAGAAATCTCATTGCCTTCACACAAGAGAAGAAATTACTGTCAATACCAAAGATCCATCAAGTGGGGTATATGCAGACCTTCCGTCTGACATGCATGTAAAGTATTCTCTGCGCCTAACCATAAAGCACTGTACAACAACGATCGAGTTTTAGGTGCCACTAAGTGTTTATTAGGTCAGATACTTAAAGCGGAATACTCTACAAAGTATAAGTATCATCCTCGGAAAAGGGTAGAAAGAAAAAAAAGAACATTAAAGGTAGAAACCAATTCGTGTCCAATTTCATATCCTAAAATCTTTCAAATCGTCTGGTATCATAATGGTCACAAAAGCCAACAACCACGAGCAGAAGCCGTGTAAGGGAGAGGAAGAGCGACCACAAGAATGCTATACATCGCCATTTCAACCATGAGACCCTCTACAGCTCAATGAGACTTTCCTCAACTGCCGGTTTGCTTGGCGCAGCTTGTTGATAATGCACCGGAGGCGCAGACGCACCAATCGGGGAAACGTCTCCGCCAAGATACGTTCCATAAGGCGCAGCTGCAGTCTGCGAGTGTGTTGGAAGCGGTGGGCCCTGCGGAGGTTGTTGCTGGAAGTAGTATGGCTGGGCGGGAGGCGCCGTCGGCTGATGCTGAGGGGTAGGTTGACCAGTGGGTTGTATAGGATGAGAATCTCCGTATTGCATATAACCAGGAGATTGGCCCTGGTCTGTAGGCGGTGATTGTTCTGGTGCACTCGCCCGCGCAGCGACTGGCGCTCCAGATGAGTGATAGTAAGAATCTCGTCGCATGATCGGCGACGGCTGGTAAGGTACTTCTGTCTCCCCAGGCCGGGGACTTGAATATGCATTTGGATCTTGTTCTGGATGCGGTGCGGACGCGTAGTATTGTGTCGGAGCAGAGGGGCCAGGATATCCTGAAGGATTGCTGGGGAAAGGAGTGGAGGGAGCAGACGGTTGAGGAGATGCAACAGGAGGAACGTTTCCATTCCACGGCGGATTTTGAGGCACTGCCTGACTGGGCTGGTTATACATGCCGGAACTGATCGGACCTCTGGGAGCCGCTGCTGGCTCACGGATTTCCCTGCTGGACTGAGGGTATCCATATGTGTTACCAACTGGCTGCGCCCTATCGGCAACCAGGTTGCCGTAGTAGAAGTTTTCGGCTCCAGTTTTACTATCCGCGGTGTGGGAAGGCATTGAAGGGTACATATTGGGATATGGAGAGCCGCCTGGCGCAGTTCCGTATCCGAGCGAATGCTGCGAGTATGTACTAGATAATCGTTCCTCTAGCATACGATCGTAATATCGCACCACCGTGGAGAGCTTGGCATGCAGGTCAAGAAGAGTATCTATGGGCCGGTCAGTCAAATCTTCAAAGAATAATGGATCAACCTATCAGTAGAGATAATTCACTGACCATGCTTGCTCATAGTCTCCCCATAGCTGCGGGCAAGCTTAGGCCTGAGCGCACCGATGCTCTCGTACAGCTCTTGAATTTGGGGTTCTCGTAGGATAGTCCCCGGAGGTTGATGTTGTAACCGGTCAACGAGGGCGGCGAACAAATGAATGTTTTCTACCTCGACGGGGCTCAGCTCATAGGGATTTTTGGGCAAGGGTGTTGTGGTAGTAGTATCATGAGCTGAAAAATCCGTCGCTGCTGCATTACTCTTCAAGGCAGCCGCATGCTTCTTCTTGTGTTCCTCCATGTCCCGCAGAGAAGCCTCGATGGCGGCTTTCAAGTCCGCGTCTTCCTCCTCCTCGTAGTTGGCTTGAGTGGTCGTCTTTGCCGGTTCGTCATTGATCCTAGTTTGTGGAACGTAGCCAGAAGAGCCCTTGTTTTGAGCTTCTTCCAAGCTCAGTTGAAGCGCCCGCCGCAGATCATCATCAAAGCCACCCTCTGCCCTTGCGCCGCGAGGTTCCATCGCATTTGACTTGGTGATAGAGTTGTTCTTGAACACAGATCGGTCTGACAAAGACGGCGCGAATGACTTTGATGTCAATTTGGCATAGCACCCGTCATCGACGCGAACGGGCTGAAGTATTCCCAAATGTGGTAGGGGAAGGGTTTTGCTGGAGCATTGGGCATCGAAGACATTACCGCAATTGCGGCAATGGTGTTTGCGATTCATGAAACTAAATGGTGTACGGCAGCGCATACAAACGTCGGAATCGATCCACTCAGGAGGCTTTTCCCCCCAGGGATTTGAACGTTAGCTTCAACACAAGATCACCACCAATGGACAGACGTGAACATACCGCACTGCTTTCCAACATACTTCCACTAATTTCATTCTTCGGAGGGAAGCGGAAACCCTCGCTCTGAAGTTTTCGGTAGGTCTCGCCGAGATAGTTGAGATCCATGCGGCCTTGGGCTGCCATAGCCCAATCCTGAATGAGTTCCAGCATCTTCTCCTTCACATCAGTATTCAGGGGAGCTCCCTCCGCCGTGAGGAGAGACACTAGATTATCCATAAACTCGCGCGACGCAATTTCCGCCAGAAAATGGGTGCCGCCATTCTTCACGCATGTATCGGTTAACTAGAGAGGTATCAAGCCCATTAGCATCGAGAACAGACCCCACCTCCCAAGTCTCGGGTCGACCAACCTTCAATGTCGCAATCTGCACATTTGGATTCCTATTTTCTAGCCGCCGTTTGAGCGACCTCATCGCTTCTTTGGGCTGGACGCTTTTCGATCGGATAAGGTCGGAGATCTCGAGGTTGAGAGCAATGTCCTCTCTATTTTATCAAGGCAGTTAGATATGGCCTGGGCAGCTTCGACCACTGGAAACCCTCAAATCAAAGAAGACATACAGTGATGATGATGTCGCACGCTCAATCTGCTCGTCGAGCGGAGAAGTAGAGGAAAACCATCCCGCCATAGTGACGGTGTTAGAGAAGCCTCAAAATCGCTATTTGATTGATGAGAGCGGAGTACGGGATTGATGACGTTGAGAAACAACGGTGAGGGGCATTAGATCACAAAACTGGATGCGGAAACCTGAGGACAGCGGCCCTCCTGGGAGATGACTTCGATAGATTAGGAGTTCACAGAGGATACCGGAACATTGATAGGAAGACAGATGAAGGCGATGGTGTTGATGCATGTATCGAATCAAGCTCTAGGCAGATCCATCGATAGGCAATGAGGTACTAGGGCTGTAACTGGGCGATATATGCTTACCTAAGGCAAGGAGCAGCCCCAT